GGGGGGGGGGGCTCTGCTGGACAGGTGAGTCTATCAGATCTCAAGGCTAATTTTACTTGCAAGGCTGTTCCCAAAATGCAATCGGAGCTTACAGTAAGTATTGAGCAGCAAACTTGTGTTTTTGCAAAGTGATGAAGCTTTTGCATCTCATTGTACTAACTTAAATTGCATATCACAGCAGACATCTCAAAATACTTAGTCTTCTGGGGGCTAAGCATATATTAATACATTTTGGTAGAGAGGAATGAATATAGGCCTACTGTCATATAGGTTACGTTATCGGGCATCCTTCTAATTCCCTTGAACAACCAAGATTGAACTTTTGAACTCTTTATAATTTCTATTATCTAGTCAGGTTAAAGTCCAGGGGAGGAAGCCCCATCATAGTAAAGAGGATACTAATGTGATGTGTGTAGTTCTTCATAGCCTCTTCATTTTGCTCTCAAAGTGCACGGAATTGATGGATTTTTAACAGAATGTAGGAAAAAAAATCTCCCGGGGGGGCATGCCCCCGGACCCCCCTAAAGGGGCTGTGTTCCCCTTGGGGCTAAGCCCCCCTTGTTCTTGAAACCTAGTGACGCCCCTGTCTTCAGCCATGGCTGATTTAACTCAGCAGGGTTGGACAGATTTGTGGATTTCCATGAAATAAATTGCAAGTCGCCAACGGATAGACCAACACCGCTTTCTGCTGGACCGAGGAGGGATGGGGATTTCTTCACGTGAATATTTTAGAGCCGTGTGTGCGTGTGTGTTTGTGTGCGTGCGTGCGTACGTATCGTGGAAAACAGCGTGATTGAAGGAGTTTGCTGACGTGCGCAAAGGCACAGTCGACAATCACAAACAGAATAGAATATTCACAATTCATAAGTCATAATAAAATTAAAAGAACACGTGTGAAAATCCAACATTCATTCGTGTATCTCGAAAAACACGTGAAAATCACAAATATATTTGTGGATCTGAAAATCATGGAAAAAATCAGATTTTCCCACGTTTCGCGAATGCAGCATAATACCCGTTGGCATACCGCAGACACTGGAGCCACGGCATCTATACGTGTCTACGATCGAAACGTTCCTGAATATGACGGCGTAAGAAGCACTTCCGGGTCGGTTTCGAACCAGTGAGGAGCTACCAACAATTTATGTGAAATATTTCATGTAGTGGTCGGTTACTTTTGTTTGCTTAGCAGAATAGGTTTTATGGTGTTGCTGCCGACTTATTTATGATATATTTGTTGTTTGTCCTCTCGGCCGAACATGCGCGCTCCGGTGCGCGCATTCCTCGTTTGTGTGTGTATGAGCGCGGTGGCACCTCATCAATTTACCGAGGAAGAGATGCAAGATGTCAGGTAAACACACGCGCACCGAACTTCGGGAAATGTCTCACATTAATTTCCATTTGTCTGAAATCCAATAGTGAAGTTGAACGTCAATAAACAACATGGCTTTGCACCGCAAGTGGCGCGAGAGCCATTTTAAGTTGTTATCCTGAAAACAAAGGTCAACTTTGTTTTTAATAATTTGCCCACCAAGATATGATCATTCATCATCATGGGCGACCGCTCATTTAATATATTACTTTAAGTTAGAAGTCATTAACTGGTGGGCCGCCTTCTGGTGTTACGGTTCAACTGATTTTCCACATAAATTGGCTCGCGATTCCAGCTGTGGTCGTTTGGGCTATGTCCCCTCGAGTCACATTCAGTTTCCTCTCTGCAGATTCGTCACATGCTACATCGAAAGTGTCGAACTAGATATACCAGTTTAATTTAAAAAAAAAACACGTAAAACAAAACGTCTCTTTACAACTCATCGCTGGCTACTAGAACTTGTCAAGAGTAAAAATAATAATAATAACAATAATTAAAAAATAAAAACAAAGGGCAGAGTGGTATTTGAACCCGTGACACGAAGGAATAAAAGAACACCATCGCGGGGGGGAGACCTGCTCTTCACACTACTGTATACCACTAGCTAGCACACTTTCTGTGGCGTAGAATTCGTACTTGCAGATCTAAACAAGCTCCCCAGAGGGCACTTGTCTATCTGGTGCTCGACAGGCTCCTGGGAAGCTACTCGACATCGTGTTGTTTTCACCTTAAAGTTTAGATTCGACACTCCCACGTACTCATGTGTGATGATTTCTATGATGACAAGATCATCTATGCATAGATGAAAAAAATAATGAGAGTAAAAAAGAAGCATTAACGTTTTTGAAGCGACGGAACGGCACATGTGGACTAAACGAATTGGGCAATATATGTCAGGGATGTGTTCCTCGAGCCGGTCCTTGGCCTCGAGGACCGGCTCGAGGACCGAAGGTCGGTCCTTGGTCCTT